TGCCAAGGGAAGTACAATTGTTATTTTGAACAAGGAACATGGACATCCTTATATATACTACACAAAAGCAAACCAGCTGTCTCAGCATTATGAGGACAAGAATGTTGAGCATAATCACGAGAAAGTCACTAAATTTCAGACCAAAATCTTTCAGGTTTGTCTCATTGTGTATTGTTCGTCCTTATCTGTTCAATGGCATATCTTTGCTGCTAATCAAATATTATACTTAAAAAGCAGTTCTTTTTTCTCTTTCCAACAAATCAGAGAAAGATAATATATTATACAATATAAATATATAATATAACTCTAATATAGTACTCCTATTATTAGTTTAGGGTAAATTAAATGCTTATTCACCGAATTTTATTCTATCTTCCTTTTATTTCACTTACTTTCAAGTTTTTTAATTTCCTCGTTAAATTTTAGACATTGAATTTTTTTATTACTCGATCGTTTACTCAGTAATGGGGTGCTCATGTGGCTTGTTTTAATAATAAAACATACCACATAAGACTTATAATTAAAAAGATAAATTACACGTTTACTCATTGAACTTTATTCTCTCTTCTATTTTATTCACTATACTTTTAATTTTTTTTAAAATTAATATAACAATGTCATAACTCCGTTAGAAATTTAAAGACCAAGTGACCAAAAAAGTTTAATGTTTAAAGTTCAATTAGCAAATTGAAAAAATTGAAAGTACAATGAGAGAAATAGGAGAGTAGTGAAATTAAGTGAGTAAGTGTATAATTTATTACTCAAGTTGTGCAAACAGACCCTAGGTTATTTTATCCATACATCACCGTAAAAAATAATTAAATATTAAAATAATATTTATTAATAATTATTCACTAAAATAAAATTAGGTAAACTGCTAGTCACTTTCGTTTATGTTGTGTACATTTTTTCTCATTAAATGTAAAAAAATAATATATAATTATTTTTCGTTTTTATTTCATTAAAATGTGATTAAGTTCGTTTTTATTTATCGAAAATGTGATCATTTACTTTTATCGACTTTTAAATATTTTATCATTGAATTTATAATTGTTAGTTAAAAAATGAGAAAATTAAATAAAAGTGGTTATGTCTTAATTAAATAAAAATAAAAGTAATTAAATATTATATTTTATATTTGAAAAGAAAAATATATAAAATTTAAACGAAAATGATGAATGTAATAGTTTATCCAATGAAATTCTTTTGAGTGTTAACACGTCGGATGCATTAATAAAAGAGCTAATATATTTGATGTAATAAATAGTGCATGTTTAAAGTTGATGGGGCCTTAGAAATATGACGATAACAAAATAGTTTAATTATTTAATTTGTTATTAATATTATCAACGTATTAGGTAGCGCCTAAAATATTACCAAAGTTTAAGTTGATGGGGCCTTAGAAATCCAACGATAACAAAATAGGTTAATTACTTATTTTGTTATTAATATTATCAACACATTAGGTAACTCCTAAAATGTTACCAAAGTTTAAGCTGATGGGGCCTTCGGAATCCGACGACAACAATATATGTTAATTTCTTATTTTCTAATAAATAAATATTAACATACTAGGTTGCGGCAAATGATGTTATTTTGAATAAAAAAATAGGTTGTAATATGAATATTAAAGTTGTGTTTAATGATATCGGTAAGATTTAATATATTATGTATATTTGGATGACAATTATTTTTAAAATAAATATCGATACTACTATGATCTGATGGTCAATACTTTAGCAAATATCAATATCATCTATGATGTTAGCAAATATTAATATCATCTATGATGTTTGATATTTTATCATTTTAGAAACTTGTTAATTGATTTTTTTTTTTTTGAAATGTTAAGATTGAAAGTGACTTATTTACAAAATTCCATTAAAATATAGTTGTAGAAATATCAATACTTAGTGTAGATGTATAGAAATTATTATATACTTAGTGTATATGTATCAGTACGTATTCAGAAAAATTATTAATACCCGATATCAATACTTTAAAATTTTAGATTTTTGATGACTGTTATCGAGACTTTAGCTGAAAAATTTGATAAATGTTAAATTATCAATAATTAATATATAATGTATCAATATTTTTGAAAAAAAATTGATGAATCCCACCCTCACATCAACCTACAAATATCAATATTTTCAAATGTTAAAACAATATTTAAAATGATTAACTTGTATATATTTTACCGTTTACATTATTATAAATATTTAAATAAATCGGTAGCTAGTTTAACGTAATTGTAGCGGTTATTTAATGTAATATGCAACGCCTATTTTAGTTTACCGTTTACATTATTATTAACCTTTAAACAAACCGGTAGTTAGTTTAACCTAATAGGTAACACTTATTTAACCTAATAGATGGCGTCTATTTAACATAATAGGCAACGCCTATTTTATTTTACCGTTTATATTATTATTAACCTTTAAACAAATCGGTAACTAGTTTAACGCAATAGGTAGTACTTATTTAACCTAATAGATAACGCCTATTTAACATAATATGTAGCGTCTATTTTATTTTACCGTTTACATTATATTAACATTTAAACAAACCAGTAGTTAGTTTAACATAATATGTAGCGCTTATTTAACGTAATATGTAACGCTTATTTAACGTAATAGGTAGCACTTATTTTATTTTACCGTTAACATTATCGGTAACCTTTAAACAAACCAATAGATAGTTTAACGTAATATGTAGTGTCTATTTTATTTTACCGTTTACATTATTAGTAACCTTTAAACAAACTGACATATATTTTAACGTAATAGGTAGCACCTATTTTATTTTATCTTTTACATTATTAATAACCTTTAAACAAACTGGTAGGTAGTTTAACATAATAGTTAGCGCCTATTTTATTTTAACCGATTAAGTTTTAAATATAAATATCGATACATACAATATAAGTATGAATACTTTTTCAAACAATAGTTCGACATAACTTAATGTCGAAACAATATCTATACTTTTAGAGTAAGTATGGATACAGAAACTGTGCAATTTATGTTTCAAATTTTTTTAATAATTCTTCATGTTTTCACATACAACATTAATTTAATAATTTCATTTACATAAAAAAAATATTTTATTGTTTAATTTTTTTATAAAATATTATTTTGAATTTAAATTTAATAATTTTAACCAAATATAATAATAAATATGTAATATCTATATTTATTATTTTTAATTTAATAATAATATATATCATAACATAGAAATAAGTCATTAAATGCTTATAATTACTAAATTAATATATTAAAACTCATCAAAAGATAACCCTAAGTCATTAAACGCTTATAATTACTAATTTAATAATAATATATATCATAACATAGAAATAAGTCATTAATTTTTTTCACAGTAAAGTAAGTATGAATACTTATATATATATATATATATATATATATGTATGTATCGATACCTACTGATAATCAAAGTTTATCGATTATCAATTTTTTTTAATAATTCTTCATGTTTTCTACCTACAATATTATGAACTTATCAACATTTTCGATAGCGTGTTACCGAATTTATTAATTATGCTATTAAATTTTTAGTCAAACTATTTCTTAATCTTATATTAATCTGTCTTACCTTATATATCCTACACGAAATGCACATTTGGTCAATCGTAAGTATATCATTTTAGTTATTAATTGATGATAAGGGTAACTTAACAGTGCAAACACACGTTGGATTGGTTTTTAAATTCCAAAAAATTACCCTTCAGAACGGTGAATTTTGGTTTTACATAGGGGTATAAACGACCATTTCAGCGGATCTGAAAAGGTTCGCGAAAACAATAGCATCGTGAGGAATGAGTTTAAAAGAACAAGGGAAATTCGTTTTGGAGTCTTTTCTCACTAAACGACAAGCACCGTCCAGTCCTGACTGCTACCGACAAATGTCAGCAAGCTGGAAAACGTGACACGTACACAGTCAGTTTTTGTAATGCAGCCAGAACCTAGAATTGAAGGACAGCTGATTCCTTAACTCAACCATGGTTAAACCTGACGCTGCTTTAACTGTTATTTTTTAGGAAAAAAACATTAATGGATGGATGTCGCTTTTTCCTATATGTATGGGGTAATGGGAGGTAAGATAGTAGGTTATCTCAACATCAGGTTGAGAGCAGCTTTCGTAAGAGACCTCCGAATTATGAAATGCCTTCCGTGGGACTCAATTCCACGACCTCAAGGTTAAGAACATTGTGCTCTACCAACTGAGTTGAATGATCATTTCAGAAAAAAAAATTAATAATTCACAATTTATAATTTTCTAAGTTCGATATTTTAACGTTTATGATTTTCTTAAATATTTAACAGTGGTTTTAGTATTTTGATTTCATTGAATGTTTTTATTTTTTTAATTATAAATATTTTTAAATATTTTATTTTTCTTAAAATTTAAATTAGTTTTTAAAGTTTCTGAAAACCAATTAAATTCTTAAAAATTTTAAAAGAATTAATTAAATTTCTTATCACTTCATCATCCATCATAAATTATCATGTCAATACTATAATATGTCACATTAAAATGTACGGATCAATATGGGATTTCATTTTTCAAATGGTAAGATTATTTTTTTTATCGATTTAAAGGTTATATTAGATGTAAAATAAGTTTAGGGACCATATTTATTTATGTTTTCAAAAGTTTGAGAGTTTTAAGTAATTAGGCCTTTTTTTATTTCACTCATTCAATTATCTCGCTAGGCTTCTTTGCTTATTTACTGTTTTCTCTCCCTTTCGCTATGTCTCTGTGTATATATCATGGGCATGAAGCCGCCTTACGAGACCTCCCCGTGCTCTTCCGGTATTGACTCGACGACGACTTAGTGAACTATGGCTTTTATTTAGACTAAAAGCTTTTTGTCCTTTTCTTTCAAAGCGTTTTTTTAATCATTTTCCCCCTCGAAAAGTGAAAACAATCCATAATCTTTGAAACCCAACCCATCATTTGCGGTGAATCGTTGTCTAGAAAACTGGGTTATTGTTTGTTTTGTAGTTGAAAACGAAGAAATTTTGGGCTGTATTTTCTTGGGATTTTATCTTAAAAACACATGATGAAGCTTGAAAATTGGTTGCCGGTGACGGTTTCTACAGCTTCTGGAGAAGCCACTGCTTCTTCTTCAGGTAATCAGATTCAAGACACTCAACTAGCAGCAGGAGGACCAGCGAAGAAGAAAAGAAATCTTCCCGGGATGCCAGGTGAATTATAAGAACATTCACACTCTTCCTTTTTTTTGTCTCAATAATTTGAATTTCCAAGTTTTCTTTATTGTTGCGAAAAAAATAATTTCTTTTGGACTCATTTCAGATCCAGATGCTGAGGTGATAGCTTTATCTCCAAAAACCCTACTAGCGACCAACCGGTTCGTCTGTGAGATCTGTAACAAAGGTTTCCAACGAGATCAAAACCTGCAACTCCACCGACGGGGCCATAACTTGCCATGGAAGCTACGGCAAAGAACCAGCAAAGAAATTCGGAAGCGAGTCTACGTGTGCCCCGAACCGAGTTGCGTCCATCACAACCCGGGTCGAGCCCTAGGTGATCTTACCGGTATCAAGAAACACTTTTGCAGGAAACACGGGGAAAAGAAATGGAAATGCGAGCGGTGTTCTAAAAAATACGCCGTTCAGTCCGATTGGAAGGCCCACATGAAGACTTGCGGCACCCGAGAATATAAATGTGATTGTGGCACCGTCTTTTCTAGGTATAATACAATTACAAACTCATCCGTACGCTTCCCTTTCACAGTTCAACTCTTTTTTTTTCCTATCATTACGGGGTGGTGGTTCTGGGTTTGACGACAATGATGGTTTTTGAAGGAGGGATAGTTTCATAACGCATAGAGCTTTCTGCGATGCGTTAGCTGAAGAAAGCGCAAAGACCAAAATGATAGCAGTTGTTAGTACAGAAGGAAACGTTAATGCTAATGGAAATGGTGGTGGAACTGTGATTGGAGGAGCTGCAACTGCGACATCTCGATCGCCTCAACCTTTAACACCCTCTACTACTGCTCTAGTTTCTCCAGGTTTATCAATTCAGAGTTCAGGTTACAAAAATATTAGTGTGGGTCTTTATATATAGATTTTTTTTGAAGATTCCCCGCTAATTTTTTGTTTTTGTTTATTTAGATAGGTCAAAGTTGAGGTAATCGTAGGGGTGTTTGTTTCCCCTTTTAAAATCGTTTTTGTTTATGGGAGTCCATTGAGATGAAGTTTTTGGTGTGTTTATGGCTCTGCTTTGTCTCTTATTGTTGTCGCTCTCGTTTGTATGTTTAGTCTTAGGGAACGTAACACACGTGGTAGTGAAAGAGAAGCATTAACAGAATATAAGAATAAGAGAGAGATGTTGAGTAGTTTAGTTTTGTGTTCACGAGTAATATAGTTAAATACTGTCGATAAGTAAAGCTCAATGATCAAAAAACAAAAAGGCGATGAATTTTGATCAGAGAAAGAAAGAACGAAAGGAAGGCATTATTGCCTTTTGGTTTTACTTCTTAAAGCTTTTCAAGATTCATAGGGCTTTAGAAAAGGGATATAGTTCTATAAAGAAAAGCCCTCTCCCTTTTCACGCTATTTTTTGCTTCTTTTTGTTTTTTTCATTGACACTTTTTTTTCCTCAATGGCTTACAGAAATACCTGGAAATTCAATGGGACTTTCACAGGCAACTCCTGCAGCAGCCACTGCCTCTACTTCAACCGCCAATGTTTTTGCTAGCATGTTTGCACCGAACTCCCAACCGTTCAACATATCTGCACCAGTGGAGCGAACATCCCTCTCTCTTTCGTCTCCACTTTACATATCCAACAATGGCTCTTCCAATATCTTCACTGGACCCGAAAACGATCATTGTCACTATGCTCCAACTCCGCAGCCCGCCATGTCGGCTACTGCATTGCTACAAAAAGCTGCCCAAATGGGTGCCGCGGCATCGAACCCTTCATTGATTCGTGGTCTAGGCATGACAGTATCCTCGGCTGGTCAAGATCCTAATGTCAAGTCCGAGAGCAACATTGCCCTTGGCGTTCCCTCAAACGGAAATTCTGGCTTAACTAATCCCATGATAGGCTCATACTTGCTGTTTGGAAACAAGCCTACAACGCTAGATCTTCTCGGCCTTGGCATGGCTAACGGCGTAGCTGCCTCAAGTGGACTGTCTGCGTTGCTCACTTCCTTTGGAGGTGGCTTCAATGTCCTAGCAGCGACCATGACAACATTCGGAGCAGGAGGGAGTAATTCGCCTAGAGAAACATGGGACGGTGCACCCGAAAGAAAACTCAATGGCCCAACCATGATTTAGAGATCATTTGAGTTCTCTAGTTAGGCACTGAAAAACAAAAGTTGCATCTTAGAACCCAAAAAATGATGTGTTAGGGTTGCATATTAGACATTAATTTTGGGTTTTCTTTAATTAGTACATGCATTTAAAGCTTAATTTCCTTTTGAGGTAAAACCTGGGATAGATGGATCCGGAGAAAAGATTGTACAGGAACTCATCTAGTTAACCGCCAGCAGATATAGCACGAAATATTATGCTACTATATACGGTTTTTGGTTTATTTATTTCTCAGACCATTGTTTTCACTTCCAAGTTCGGATTTGACTGTCGACTCAGGTAGGGTTCAGTTCCCCAAAAATGAACTCAACACAACACACTTAAGTTTTTGGTTTTTTTAATATTTGTGAAACCACGGTGGTTATGGGGTGAAAATTTGGTCAAATGAGTAGTAAATTTGTAAACAGAAGATGAGGGACCATTTGGACTTTGGAGTTGAGATTTCAGAACTGAGGAACCACATTTAATGAGGTGAGTTGGCAAATCTGTAAGTGCAGCTGCCCACTTGAGCTTTTGTAGGTGGTGGGGTTGCTTTCGCATGCTGTTTCAAACGATTACGCATTCTGGAAAAAAATAAAGGGTAAACTATGCCAGTAGTTAATCATGTTTAGGATAGTATTCGTTTTCACCATTGATATTTAAAAAGTTACAAATTAATCACTAACATTATCCTTTGTTACAAATAGTCCCTCGACTTTAACTTTTGTTAGTGGAGTAACGGATCATAGCTGAACCATTATCTGCTGAATTGAATGGTTGACCATGACAACTAGACCATTTTAACCGGCTCTTCTTCTTCTTCAACCCCACCTTACCTTCTTCCTCAACCTAATCAATAATGCTATCCAAGGTAGCTGAGCTTGGAGTTAAAATCTGCTGCAACATTTGTTTAAACAAGGCAATAGCCTCCAATCCTATCTTCTTTTCCCTCTCACCAAAACTCTCTCTCTCCCAACAAATCTATTAATGTATCGTCCTCTATGGGTTCAACGGCTCCGTCGTTTTCGGTTTCAGACTCACCAACGCCTATATCCATTTGGATTCTCTACAATTTGCCCAGAAAACCTTCCATTGCATCACTCGCAAGAATCTCAATTCCTGGAACAGCCTTATCTCTGGGCATTCAAACAATAAGTTTTTCCTCGTTGTTTTACGCCTTTTTAGTCCAATGCGAAGGGAGATCGTTGGGGATAACAGTTTCAATTTAGTTTTTGCAATCAAAGCATGCGTTGGACTTTCATTCCTGAAAGATGGAAAACTGATTCACTCTATAGCTGTCCAGTTTAGGTTGGAAGGAGACGCGTATGTTGCGCTCGCTCTTGGGAAGGTGTACTGCCAATTGGGTTCTCTGAGAGATACTAGGAAAGTGTTCGACGGTTTTCCTGAGAGAAATTATATTCTTTGTGGGAGGGTTGGTTCGAGCTTGCGGAAATGTGTCTGCTGATAAAGAAAGCAATGGTTTGTGTATTAAAAACAACTTCGTTTGTTCCAAGTTTACTTGCAGACCTCCCTTATGGATATGTATTTGAAAGGTGTTTTGGTTGATTTTGGAATGAAATTATTTGAAGAGGCTAGTGAAAGGAATGTGGTTTTGTGGGGTACGATGATAACGGGATTAACCAAAAATGGGAAGGGGTTGGAGGCTATTGCCTTGTTTAGACAAATGTTGCAACAGCCTTTAACTCCAAACTCAGCTATATTGGATAGCATTATTGGTTAGGTTGAGGAAGAAGATGGGGTGGGGTTGAAGAGGAAGAAGAGCCGCTCAAAATGGTTTAGTTGTGACGGTCAATGATCCAACTCAGTAGATAATGACCCAGCTGTGATTTCGGTTACATCTATCAATGGTTGATAACGTTTAGTGACCATTTTGTAACAAATGGTAAAGTTAGTGATCGATTTGTGACTTTTTAAATATTAGTGGTGAAAATAAATACTACGCCAAACATGAGTGAACATTGGCGTAGTTTACTCAAAAAAAAATTGCGTGATCGGGAAATGCGACCGAAAATGATAAACAAGAAACATATGGATGTTCCGTGGGCTTGGTTATGGCCTTGTAGCTGATTCGCCGCCGTTACGTGTGATTGAACTTAGCTTTTCCTTAAACGGGGAGAACCATGAAATTTTGCCTTCTTTTGAAATAACTATGATATTTCCATTTGTTACTATTTTTTAATTTTTTAATAATCATATATTGTATACTATTTTGTAAAGCAGAGGAAAGTGTCCCGAACACCAGGTTGAGAGCAGCTTTCGTGGAATACATTCGACACTCACAAAATTAAAAATAAAGATAAAATACAATTCATGTATAAATAGATAAATAAATATATAGTTAGTATTCATATGCAGTCTTCATATGCGCGTCTGTAATGGGAAGTAACTCCTGCAAATAAATCCATGCGTAAAAATCTCTGCATATAGACAGAAATGTAAGTCCCGACTAAATTTAAAAAGTAGGAACATGAAGAGAATGATGCACAGAAGTCAGCGATAGCAAGATACGATAATGAATAAAGTCAAATGAGTTAAAACCTAAACTAAGACAACACTACTCCGCTACCCTAGTTCTAATCCTTCATAATTTCCAATGACAGAAACGTATAAAAAGTAGAAGTCATGAAAAATTACTACAAAGACATTAAAAAGAAGACAGAGATGCTACACCATATGGCTGTGACCCGAAATGTAAATAAACATTAATGCATCTTAATTTATATTTTTCTTGCTACAACTTAAGAGCACCCAAATCCATCTCTAAATCCAATAGACGTTAGGGAATGCAATAACAATCCCTGAAATATAAATCGGCTAAAAGAAGAGAAAGCAAAAAAGAGAACAAACCAAATGAAGAAAAAGCTTAAAATTATGGCCAATTCAATCCGGAGATTTGCAGTTGTTTCCTGGAACAACATGGTTTTATAAATGCTGATTTGACAAATAATCACACTCATAGTTGGGAAACTGGCGACCCCATGTAAAACTTGCAAAGGATTACATCTTACCAGATGAGACTAATGGCTGTTTTTCGTACACTGCAGGACCGTCATCTATGACTCAAAAAGCCTATAACCATGTGCTATTTAATTTAATAATCATCTCCGGACTCAATTTCATACTTAATAATAAAAAAAAGGTTATATTGTGTTTTCCTAGGCGTTGAATTAGTTAATTCGGTTAATTGACTCAATCAAATTACTAAAAATTTATTAATAGAATTTTTTAAAGAAAATTAATTGAACCAAATTAAATTTGATTAATTAGTCGATTAACCAAAGTTTATAAATAATATATATTAAATATTAAATATTAAATATTTTCTACTTATTCGGTTAATTCGATCAAAAGGCCATCAGTAAGCGGGCCTGCCTACCGTCCAATCTTTGGGAACTCACCCGAGATCCAACGTTTGTTTAAGGAAGATAAGTTGAAGACAGCTCCAGTTGAACACCACGATATCCTCCACCCTGTGGCTTCCTTCTACCACAGGTGGTCGCGTATGTACGAGACGCCGTTTCTTTATTGGTTCGGGTCGAAGCCAAGGCTGGGAATCTCGGATCCTGATATGATCAAGGTGGTTGCTATGAACACGAGGGGGTCGTTTGATAAGGTCCGGAATAATCCCATGTCCAAGTTGCTGTTCGGGCAGGGACTTGTTGGATTGACAGGTGAACAATGGGCCATCCATAGGAGGATTGAAAACCAGGCCTTCAATATGGAAATAGTCGGGGTAAAATCGAACCGTGTTCACAGTATTTATCCATTTTTGCAAACCTTGTACAGTTGAACAAAAAAAAAACCATTTATCTATATCCACTTGTGAATGTAAAATCATGTATAGTTTCCAACAAAAAATCATATACAGTTGAGTTCTTCTTGATTATCAATCATTTAACTTGAATCAACATTTTTTTCCACAAAATCAGTGATTGATCGAAGGGATGAACGGAGACAGTCGCCCTCTTTAAATATTTAAATTTATTTTATATTTTATATATTTCTATATATTTTCTATTTAAAATCTATTTGCATCCCCCTAATCTTTACAAGGTACTCTCTTGCTAAAATTTCATAAATTCGGTGTCCCTGATATCAAGTCCTGCCTCTATGGAAGTATACTTTAATTGCAGGGTTGGGAAGTATACTTTAATTGCAGGGTTGGGTACCTGAAATCATAGCTGCTACTACGAAACTGCTAGAGAAATGGGAGGAAGAAAGAGGCTGGAGAGATGAATTCGAATTGGAAGTGAACAAAGAACTTCATGACCTCTCAGCTGACGTTATATCCAGAACAGCATTCGGAAGCAATTTTGAAGAAGGTACGCATCTTTATGCTACAAGAACAGCAGATGGAGTTGTTCTCAGTGGCTATAAGAAGTATCTATATAACCTTTGCTATTCCCTTCCAATTCACTTAAGAAATTAAGTTTGTTTATGTAAATGCCCAGACAGTGTCAACTACGGATATAACACATGCTGGTAAAATAATAGGAAGAAATGATCTTTGATGCCGTAGCTTATCCATGCACGATAAGTAATAGCCTAAGTTGCTGTTGTGTCAGGTTTTTGCCCACTAAGAATAACAGAAAGAGGTGGAGACTAGAAAGGGAAACTCGCGAATCTGTAAGGGCAGTGATCCGGTCTAACAGAAACAGAAAAGAGAACTCTTCAAGTCTACTAGATCTTTTGATGTCTCCATATAAGAACCGGGATGATAAAGAAGAGAAGTTAAACGAGGAAGAGATAATAAACGAGTGGAAGACCTTTTACCTTGCGGGGAAAGAAACAGCTGCTAATGCTGTATCATGGGCACTTTTGATTTTGGCATTGAATCCCGAATGGCAAGACAAAGCAAGAGAAGAAGTGGTTCGCGTCGGTGGAAGCAGCAAGTTTCCAGTTGCAGAGCATTTGAGTGACTTGAAGATTGTAAGTTTTTCATCTTCTGATAACCTTCTTTTTCATGTTAAAGACCAAGAGGATATGATTGCATAAACGATTTAATAAACAGGTGACCATGATAATCAATGAAACACTTCGACTATACTCACCAGCAGTGATGTTGATGAGGGAAGCATGCAAGGATGTTAAGCCAGGAAAGCTCCACGTTCCTGCAGGTACACAGCTTTATCTGGTACTGACCGCTGTTCATCATGACACTGATACATGGGGAGAAGATGCTAACAGATTCAATCCCTCGAGATTTAAACAGCCTCGAAAGCATTTAGC